GGGGACACTGGGGACACTGGGGACACTGGGGGACACTGGGGGACACTGGGGGTCAGTGGGGGACACTGGGGACACTGGGGGGACACTGGGGGACACTGGGGACACTGGGGACACTGGGGACACTGGGGACACTGAGGGGACACTGTGCCCTCAGAAAGAAAGCAGCTGTGGCGGGCTGTAGTCAGACTGACAGGTGTGACGGTGACGGGGCTGATCCCCTTGAGGGGACAGCCAGGACGTTCAGCCGAGGGGAGAAGGAGAAACAGGCGCAGAGCGGGGAAATCGCAACAGCGGCACGGCGCGGCTTCGCTGGCCTGAGACACCAGGGCCATGCAAGGTGTCACTGTCACTGTGTCACTGTCACTGTGTCACTGTGTCACTGTGTCACTGTCACTATCACTGTGTCACTGTGTCACTCACTGCCACTGTGTCACTGTCACTGTGTCAGTGTCACTGTGTCACTGTGTCACTGTGTCAGTGTCACTGTCACTCACCATGGTGGAATCCTCCCGGCTCAGGATCAGGAAGCCGTGACGTTCCCCGTCCTCCTCGGAACTTTCCGGAGCCGCCGCCGCCGCCTCGGGCTCCGCGCTGCTCCCTGGGGCCACCTCCGGCTGTGGGGACAGGGACAGCGTGGGGACAGGGACAGGGACAGGGACACAGGGACAGGGACAGGGACAGGGACAGCGTGGGGACAGGGACAGGGACACAGGGACAGGGACAGGGACAGGGACACAGGGACAGCGACAGGGACAGGGACAGGGACAGGGACAGGGGACAGGGGACAGGGACAGGGACAGGGACAGGGACAGGGACACACTCAGGACACAGAGACAGGGACAGGGACACAGAGACAGGAGAGTGACACGGTGACACAGTGACAGGAGCGGACACAGTGACACGGTGACAGGAAGGTGACATGGTGACACAGGGAAAGGGACACAGTGACAGGAGGTGACACAGTGACACGGGGAGAGTAACACAGTGACACGGTGACACAGGAAGGGTGTCACACTGAGACACGGTGACACACGGTGACACACAGTCACACACAGTCACACACAGACACACACAGTCACACACGGTGACACACAGTCACACACAGTCACACACAGTCACACACAGTCACACACAGTCACACACAGACACACACAGTCACACACGGTGACACACAGTCACACACAGTGACACACAGTGACACACAGTCACACACAGTGACACACAGTGACACACAGTGACACACAGTCACACACAGTCACACACAGTCACACACAGACACACACAGACACACACAGTCACACACGGTGACACACAGTCACACACAGTGACACACAGTCACACACGGTCACACACAGTCACACACGGTGACACACAGTCACACACAGTCACACACAGTCACACACGGTGACACACAGTCACACACAGTCACACACAGTCACACACAGTGACACACAGTGACACACAGTGACACACAGACACACACAGACACACACGGTCACACACAGTCACACACGGTGACACACAGTCATACACGGTGACACACGGTGACACACAGTCACACACGGTGACACACAGTCACACAGAGTCACACACGGTGACACACAGTCACACAGAGTCACACACGGTGACACACAGTCACACACAGTCACACACAGTGACACAGTCACACACAGTCACACACAGTGACACACAGTGACACGCAGTCACACACAGTCACACACGGTGACACACAGTCACACACAGTGACACACAGTGACACACAGTCACACACGGTGACACACGGTGACAAACTGTGACACCCGGTGACACCCGGTGACACACAGTCACACACCTGCTGGCGCGGCGGGGGCGCGGTGACCGTCCACATGTCGTAACAGCCGGGCAGCTCAAACGTGGTGACAACCTGCGGCCGGATGCTGCGCTGGGGACACCGGGGGACAACGTCACACCCAGGGACAACGTCACACCCAGGGACAGTGTCACACCCAGGGACAACGTCACACCCAGGGACAACGTCACACCCAGGGACAGTGTCACACACCCAGGGACAGTGTCACACACCCAGGGACAGTGTCACACCCAGGGACAGTGTCACACCCAGGGGACAGTGTCACACACCCCGGGGACAGTGTCACACACCCCGGGACGGTGTCACACACCCAGGAACAGTGTCACACCCCGGGGACAGGGTCAGTGTCACAGGGAAGGCACAGGGACAGTGCTCAGGGGCGCTGCCCAACACATTTGGGGTGTCACAGGGGGGTTACAGGCGCTGCCCACACGTTTCAGGTGTTGGTTACAGGCGCTCCCCATGGATTTGGGGTGTTGTGGGGGTGTTACAGGCGCTGCCCGTGGATTTGGGGTGTTGTAGGGGTGTTACAGGCGCTCCCCATGGATTTGGGGTGTTGTGGGGGTGTTACAGGCGCTCCCCGTGGATTTGGGGTGTTGTGGGGGTGTTACAGGCGCTCCCCA